GGTGGTAATATTTTTATAGGTATTAAATGGTAAGAAACTAACTTACATAGTTAATCTTTATTAGATCAGACTGCAATTCTAAACAGTCGTTGATATCTTCGATGCATCCGAACAATAATTTTAGGTCGTCAGCATCAACTTATTGCTGTCAATATTCAAGCTAACGTCATATATAAAAGAATTAAACAACAGTGGCCCTAAAACCGGACTTTGAAGAACTTCTGACGTCGCATGTTCTTCAACAGACGTGGATCTACAGTACTGAACATAGAATGTTCTATAACAAGAGTAAGGTTGTAGAAAGAAAAAAAAATAAAATGTAATGACAAGCAATAGAAAAACAATTTACTCAGTCACAGACTATGGTCAAGTCTGTAAAAAGCTTTTGACAGATCAGCATGTATCACATCAAATTGACTTCCCCTATCCAAGTTTTGTTATTGTTGGTCTACCTGTCGTTAAGCCATGTTGATTTGAGGAAAGTACGGATCTTATCTTCACTGAAGTTAGATAAAAAAATTGCTACAGACTCCAAATTTAAACTGTTTCCGTAGTGTAGGGAATATTAAAGATATTAAAGACAAATTGAAAACAAAAGTTGAAGAATTAGCTAAAACGTTGCAAAGTCCTTAAGAAAAAACTTTGGTTACATCTGGTTCTGATATCCTTATCTAGAGCAACACCTAAAACTTCGATTCCTCCGAAAATGGCATTGTCTCATCAAACAAGTTGGGAAGCGCTCTTAGAGCATAATCCTCTTTTTTTGTAGGTATACCTAAGTAACTATAAGACATTCTTTCATTTAATTTTAGATACTTAACTGAATATCCATTATTTCTAATAGTCTAACCTAACACTTTTATCATAATAGTTCTAGATTCTAGTTTATTAATCCAGTCTATTCTAATAAAGATATTTACAAATTTTTAGTTGATATTGTAAATGAAACAGATGCCTTGAAAATATTGATATCCATTATTTACTTTATTTTCTTCAGTTGCACAATCCATTGTGTCTTTAAGTCGCAAAACTGTAATAATTAGATACTATTCCATCTATAAGAATGAGATCAGCTGTTTGAAATTGGTATCACTCTCATAACCAAGCCAGTAAATAATGTAATATATGGCCAAGCCATTGATAATTAACGACATCCAGTGGACAATCCGCTAGATCGCCACTTACGGGTTTTATGAGCACCTGATCGCAATTTCTAATTGCAAGAGGTCTACCGCTAGTTTTTTAAATCAGGAGATACCCGGTTCGGGCAGAAACGAAGTGAAAAATACTAGAAACTCGCTGCGGTCGCATCCTGATGATATAAATTCAATTAAAGCGGACGCAATTTAGAATCATAATTATATTTCTAAAAAGCGCAAATATTCTTATATTTTATATAATACTGACATGGTAATAGTTGCAAACGTAATGCTGTCTGAGATTCTAAGCAAAAACAAGAAAATGGAGATGCCGTATGACATATGTCTTTTAAATTGCCTGACAAACACAACATTTTCAGCTAATATTGTTTGTTTAAAAAAACATGGCATTAAGTCCTTGTTAAAATATATGAATTCTTTCTGGAGAAACCACAAACTATTGTTATTGAGCATTTTATTGAACTCGTAATTGCTTTTTAATCAAGATGGAAGACCTTTCAGAAACCAAGACTAAGGTTCGGGACAGATCAAAATAAACTGCCAAGATTCACTCAAGAACAAGACCAACTTGCAAGCACCTTTGAGACAATAAAAACAGTAAGTGAATTCATCACATTTGGTACAGCAGAAGGTGACGATGGAAATAGTCCAAACATGCAAGATTAACCTAGATCTGTAGTGCAAGCCAGGAAAACCTGGATTGAGAATATTATGGTTTTACTTTGCTCTTGGTCTTACCTAATTTTCCAAAACATGAAGACCTTTTCTTCCAAATAGCGGCACTGCGTCAATCTGTCATTATTGCTGTTTTGAATTTGGATGAAATACCCTAGCTTATATCAATCTATACTAATACTTGATAAGGTGTAATGTATGTAGTACCAATAAAAATGTTACAATGTTATGCACAAATAAAGTAACGCAGTTATAGTTTATTATAACTGACTAACAAGTGTCACTTACTTGCCTTTGAGTAATAATGCCTTTGAGAATAATTTGATATTTATCAAAGCCTATCTCTTTTGGAAATATAATTGCTATAGATATATTTTTATTTATTACATTAGTTAATGGGCGTAAATAATTCGAAAGCGGTATGTACTTTACACTTATTTTCTTTGCTTTAATTAGTTCTTCTACCAATATATGTCGATTACTTTTATTTAACGCTTAGAAAAAGGAAAAGTAGACATATGTAAATGTAGATACATACGAGATACAGAAGATTACTGCCAATGCCAACCTTGATGCATTAAAAGGTAATCCCCATTTAATTTGTTTACTACCAGCGAATGCCACTTTTTTATACCCATATTGCTTTGATAATTTAAAAAAATGAAATTTCAGCCCAAAAGCAATGCCAGATGCGTCTCATCTATTTTTTTGCATCAATAAATTATAAAAAAAATAACAAAAACGTATGTCTACGTTACTGGATAATTTGATTAACTATTATATCTAAATATTTCTGATTTATGACAAAACTATCTTTTCTTTAATTGCTGAATTTTATGTTGACATCGTTCAATAAAGAATATACAAATCAGCCTCCTAATTGTAATAAAAGATAATAGCAATAAATAGTACTCTATTAGGACTCATTTTCATAACAGATGTTACAAAATAATATTACTTTTTTGTCAGCAATATATACCTCGAATTGTATGCATTTGTTATTTACAGCAGCTGAACAAAATTATTAATGATTTTTTTATAGTTCAATTAAATTAATGTTGATGTAACTTGGTTAATGATATGAACAATTTATCTTTGTTCTCGAGATGTTCTAATTAGATATATCTCCTACATCCTATTTTTTTACAATTTTCAGCATTTCATGAACATTTCTTATATATTTTTTTATTGCTTTATCTTTAATTTTACAAAACTGACAGTGTCAGAATATTAAAGTATGTACTATGATTTCTTAAACGAATTGAAATAAAATGTATATTTTTTTGTTTTTAACATTTATAAAAGTTGTATGGGAATAATAATGATTTTTTATTTATTCTATGGGGGAAAGAGGGGGCAATATCAGGCACGGGCAACATCGATCACTATTTCAACTTTAAAAAAAGGTGACCCTTCTTTAAGCCATGTTAAGATCATTGTGCACTACTGACATCTATAGTATTAATACAAAATTTACGAATTAGTAGGTAGTGGGTAATTTAATTTTTTCTGTTATTCTTATAACCTACAAATAATATTAGATATTATATCTACTTTGAGTAAATTTTTGTACCGAAGTAATATAATAATTTTCTCCGACTTTTCATATAAATATATAAATTTTAGGTTAAACCAAGGGTTGGTAATATGAAATAAGCAGTTTTGAGACACAATTCGATGCAGTAAAATCAGACATGTCTCCAATACTGCTCCAATAATGTCTTGTTTTAATCAATAGTTTTGAACATATTTCGGTATTATACAGAACACACATTTAATTATTTCAAATCTATATAAAAAAGAAACAGTTTATGTAAGTATATACTCCTGGAATTGAAAAGAGTCGACGAAATAATACTGCAGGATTGATTTTTATTCTTTTGTTTTGAGGGTATGTCTTGCAAATCTCTCTTGGTATACTCCTACAACCCTCTGGTGGGCATATCCACGGTACAGATCTGCTAAGATAATCCTTTTAATAATAGTCACAGTGACTGAAAATTACATTAATGTAGAATATATGCTGACTTATATTATAATTGATAGATTGCAACACTAAATCAAATATTTTTCAATATGTGCTAAATTTATACAAAATTGAAATAAATACCAACATTAAAATATTGCTGTATCGAGAATGATAAATCAAGTGTAACCTCCTACTACCTATTTAATGTTAAGGGTATCACACTTGCAGTAGTAATTACTACAAATAATTATTATTTTAACTTACTCCAAACCATTTAGCACAAGGATTAGTTTGTCCATATTTCTTATGTAACACAGGATTCAAATTGTTTACAGATGGACAAAAGTAAGGAAGGTATTAATGGTGTCCAGCTGTATTAGATAGTATTAATTTTGTTATACCTAATTCTAATATTTGCTTCATAAGATACCAAAATCTCACTGCACATTATTCATCCTCACGATGAAACACTATAATGTTTGCTCTTTTCATAAACATGGTTTAATCTACAGGATTTTTTGATTTGATATTATTGTTAATTTGTGATTATGAACATTACTGCAAAAATATTCCATTATATTGCACTAAATACACAATTATCTATGCAATTGCGCATAAAACTAAATCATTAGCGCTAACCAAGATTTGGAGCCATCAATCAGTCAAATTCGTGCCTTAGTCGTAACAATGACAGGGATTAGAGATACTATTAAATATAACATTAAGATGTAGGTACATGTTTGCAGAAAATTTAAAGAAAACAAAATGAATGAAAGAAAAAAGACCAATACCAGTTTTCTGCGTCTACTCACTACAACCGCACAGGACTAGGAATATAATACTTGTATGATTATAAATCCAAAAAAAGTGTTCTTAATTGCAAGTCAACCAGCTGTACCTCAAGCTGTAAAACCCCTATGGCAGAGCCATAATTGGACATATTTTTTAGTTAGGTAGGTATATTTAGAAATATACTTAGGTATTTTACTCTAGTTCCTTTTTAAGAGTATATGGAAGCATTGGAGAATATATTATGTAGTTTATATGGTACATATTTGTGTTTTTCACATTTTTTTTTCTATTATGTCTGATAGTGCCCCCCTTTTCCTTGTTTAATACAAGAACAAATTTAGGAAGAATGAACGAAGAAGTGTTTGGCAATTTATCGATTTGTCCTAACTGCAATAAGTCCTCACCCTGTCATACTGGTGCGCCGCTCCAAAGGGCGAACTAAACGGCCCGGTCCTGGGCACCGGGTGGGCCGACACTGGCGGCGCCGCTCCGGCCCTCTGGTACAAGTACGGATAATATGCCTGGTACATAACTTCAGAACAACTCATTATATCCATGTACACATCTCAAAGCATCCTGCACGCACTGCCGACTTGAATCCACTCTATCCGTCGGGAACTATCACAGACACCAACAAAACCGGTCGAAAACCATCGTCGCTGAAAAATCGACGGTGCGGCGGCGTTCAGGGCATGTCCCGCATATTTCCGCTGAAACTGTGCCTCGAAATATCTGTCCTATTACCGCATTACGTCACAATATCAAAATCACAGCACACTTTCAACTCTAAACCGGTACCAGACTAACTCAGGATCGGGAATAAAAATTCCTTACCCCTGTAATCCGGTAGGCTCCACCCAGAATGCCCCCCTCTACGCGCCAGGACGAGGTACGCCCTATTGGAATGATTATAACATTCCTTGAAAAGGAGCCAATACGGTTTCAGCTGAAAACTGTTCAGGCCAATGTTTTAAGAGCGTTTAGTTTGGTATGTTGACCGCGTAAGCTGGTTTTATATCAAATAATAGTTACAAAGGGGTTATGGAAGCCATACGAAATGATTTTAGTTGAGTGATTCGGTCTCGGGGTCTTCATTACTTTATTTGTTCGGTTATTTTGGTCGTGTTTTAATTTCCGGGCAGTTCGTTATGTGCCGCTGTTAATACTATCGTTTATTTCTGAATATACTTGTTTTCACTCTCGATTTTATCGATTGTTTATAATTAATGAAGCAAACCGGTTATAAATATTCCAAAACCTCAGTTATGCTAATTTTTACTTGTATTACTGTTTCTAATTAATATCGTTAGCAAGTACTGCATTTTATAGAAATTTTCTATACACTCCTATTTAAATATATTAAAAAACAAATAGTCATTAAATAAATATACTAGCAACATATATTCTTACTTACCTCATTTTCAATTTAATTAAAACGTAATTTGTAATAATTATTTATTATTACATACATAAATAAAAGAGGAATAATTATTACAGAAACAGCAGTAATGTCGTTTTTAATATAATTAAATTTATTTTATATGTTTATATAGGAATTAGAGGTCAATGTCATAAACTCTTAGAGAGTTATTTGTCAAATAGAAAACAGTGTGTAAGGGTTGGAGGTGAGTGCAGTGGATGGTTACCTGTCGAATATGGTGTTCCGCAAGGCACGGTTTTAGGGCCCCTGTTATTTTTAATATATATTAATGATTTATTTGGCCTACTTACCAGTGGAGAGGTTATAGGCTTTGCAGACGATACAGCTATTTTCCATAAAGGTAACACTTGGGATGAACTGAAAGAAACTGTGGAAAGTGAATTGTCTTATGTAAAAGATTGGTTCAGTTACAAACTATTGACAATTAACCTGGAAAAGACGAGCTACTTGCCTTTTACATGCAATAAGTCAGTTTCCCCATCTTTTAATTATCTGAAATTAGAAAGCCAGGGTCATACAATTAGAATCTTACCTGCAATAAAAACAAAATATTTAGGTGTTTTTATAGATTGTCATTTGAGATGGGATATACATATAAATTATGTTATAAAGAAGCTTCAGTCCATTTTATATACCTTTAAGTACCTCTGTAGGTTGTTGTCTAGACAATATCTAAAAATGGTCTATCATGCTTTAATACAGAGTCATATAAATTACGCTGTACTATCTTGGGGTTCAGCGNTATGAAACTATTTGTTATATATAATTTATAATTTTCAGAAATAATCGAAGATGCATTACTTTAATTTACCCTAGTAATGAGTTGTACCTTGAAGCTAAAGTCTTCGATGTAAGACAACTTTATTACTACAACTGTGTTTGTAGGTATCATTATACTAATAATAAGCATGAAATGTCTCATAATTATGAAACTAGAAGAAAACAAAAGTTCTTATCTCCCTTTATGCAAAAAAATTTGGGCCAAAGATCACTACTATATTTAGCACCTAAACTATATAACACTGTACCTGATTCTTTGAAAGTAGGCAATCTATCAATGTATGCATTCAAGAGGAAAGTTAAAATGTACATATTAGAAACTCCTCGGGAAACAATAAGTAAATATTTTTATTAATACAATTAATCCGAATTGACTGATTCCGTAAATATATACATACATACTTTTCTTCTCTCTGTATAATTATGTATTTATTTTTTTCCTGTTTTTGTTTTATTATATACATGTTTGATGTTTTTCTGTGATAGGCATTTTGTGATGTATGTTCATATTTTACTTTATGTTCTTGAAACAAGTGTAAACTTATCAAGTATTGTTTATTCGTATAGCTTTTAATATTGATTTACTTTTTATCTGTATTTTCTACGAATAAATTATTATTAGTATTATTTATTATTATTATTTAATTTATTTATTCTTACTCTTATTTTCTAAAGGAAAAAAATACTTCCTCTCTCGAATTAAGAATATATTTACTAGCACATATCTATATTAACATACTTAGCATAAATCTTGTGTCAAGATTTATTTATTTATGTAAAGAAAAATTTTACTTAGATCATAATTACAATATGTTTATATTTAAATGATAAATTTATTTATGTGAAAACTGAATATATTATACCTTAAATTAAATAGATTCCTTCACTTAAAATAATAAAATTACTGTTTTCTTGACAGAAAAGAATTTACTTAATTCAAAAATGCAATATGCTAATACAAGTGCATTCTTGATAGAATGTAATAATCTTTTCTGTGTAAAGTTATGGGGCAATGTGATAATTTGGGTTTGGGAGGTGTTACAGACCGTGTGATTATTTCATTATATTATCATTCCCAAGGCATATCTATAAGTACAAATTTTTTTATGCTATACTTAACAGACGATTGGTCCTTGATAAATTTTAGTTCAAAAAGTCTTACTGAATAAATATAAGAAATAAATATAATGATTAATTCAATATCGATTCAATAAAAATTGATAAATCTGTCAATCATTGGCGGAAATACTGGGATTCACTGCTATTTATTCCCTAGAATTTCGACGCATCTTAGTATTTAATTGGAAGTCTTAATGTTATTTCTAAGCAAAAAAGTGTGTTCTATTTTATTCGAAAAACTTGTATTGATTTTTTTTTCTGAAAAATAACAACTTCAAAAAACTTGGTAGCTATAGATATTTATTTTATAATCTTGTTGGGAGCTTTGCCTCCGTAGACCAGTGCTTAAGCCTTCAAAAACGGTAAAAAGTGAAAAAAAAAATATAGTAGGATGAAACCCATTGGAAAAGGAAGAGAATATAACAGAAATGAAAAAAAAAAATTATTTACGGGCGATCTGAGGTCGGGAAGGGGAAGGGGTGAGTTTTTAAGGATAAAAAACGGTTTATCTTGATTTCCGGAAAAACTACAAGTCTCATGGAAAAAAGTAAATGGCAAAGTTGTAGGTAATAAAAAGATCTATAACTTTTGTATTTACACTTTTTTCACATAACCTCAAAATGTATGTGAAAAATTCAAATAACCAAGTTTTTGGTTTTTTATTTTTATCTTTTACAAACAAATTTTTTTTTCACGAAATTTGGTGAAAACTTACCTATTTATGTCCCAAACACGCTGTAATTTTTTTGATTTGAAATATTTATTTTTTCACCTTATTTTTACTTAATATCGAAAAAGCACCCTAATTTTCAATCGAAAATTCTCACGTCAAAATATCTGCTTTTTTAAAAACGTCGGTGGGCTTTTTCTTCGTTGAAATCTCTACTTTCTGATGGTGTAAAAAAAATATACATTACTATGGTAAGTTTTCTCAGGAAATGCAAAGAAACGAAAGAAGATTCTACAACTTTCTCAAAATATTGTAGATGTCTTATTAAATATTAACTTTATTAACTTATTTGGTTGTTAATTATAATAGTATATTTCGACTTGTAATTTTTTTGTTTATCAATGTAACATGGAATCTTACGTTTTTCGAGTAATTAAAGTGTAAATTTTAATAAATAGCTCAAAATTGTACATAATGATTAGAAAAAAATTTTCGGATTCTAGTTCGTTTCTTTGCATTTCCTGAGAAAACTTACCATAGTAATGTATATATTTTTTTACACCATCAGAAAGTAGAGATTTCAACGAAGAAAAAGCCCACCGACGTTTTTAAAAAAGCAGATATTTTGACGTGAGAATTTTCGATTGAAAATTAGGGTGCTTTTTCGATATTAAGTAAAAATAAGGTGAAAAAATAAATATTTCAAATCAAAAAAATTACAGCGTGTTTGGGACATAAATAGGTAAGTTTTCACCAAATTTCGTGAAAAAAAAATTTTTTTGTAAAAGATAAAAATAAAAAACCAAAAACTTGGTTATTTGAATTTTTCACATAAATTTTGAGGTTATGTGAAAAAAGTGTAAATACAAAAGTTGTAGATCTTTTTATTACCTACAACTTTGTCATTTAACTTTTTTCCATAAGACTTGTAGTTTTTCTGGAAATCAAGGGAAACCGTTTTTTACCCTTAAAAACTCACCCCCTACCCCTTCCCGACCTCAGATCGCCCGTAAATTATTTTTCCTTTCATTTCTGTTATATTCTCTTTCTTTTCCAATGGGTTTCATCCTACTATAATTTTTTTTGGTTTCAAAAATTATCGACCCTGGTCTACCGCTCTTCAGATATAATTTAAAATTTCAGAACCAATGATTTATTTTGGACATTTGATGATTAGAAGCTTTGTATTTAAAATTACATTTTGAGCAAAGAAAAAATGTCATCAATCTAGTTAAACAACTTCATAGTTATTTAAATAATCGCGACATTTTATAAAGGCATCAACAACCTATAGATACCTCAAAATCAAGTGGCCTTAGACATCTCATACATTCATCGTCACTATAATGTAGAATAATTTTTTACATTTTAAACCCAAAGTTCTAAATTTATTAAGTTTCCCTTTTATTTACAAAATTAGAAGGCTTTGGATGTGTCTGAAGATGAAATATTTGCCACTTACTGACCCTGCTGATTATGACTGGCAAATAGTAGTCTGCCTTGAAATTATTCTCACAATTTTAGGCTCATAAGCAGGCACTGTTATTTGACAATTGTTATGACCAGTGTCCTTTTCAGGAATTTACAATGCCTTCTAGACTTTTAAACTGAAACGAATAACTAAATTTAAATTTACATTAAATAAATTGTTTTGTATTTCCTGAATCTAAATTTTTAAGAGAAACATCCTTAAGAAGGTGTATCTGATTTGGAATTGACAAACAAATATTCATAAAAAATTAATATAAGCTTATGAATATGAAGAAAATCCTCAAAAAA